CTACCTCACGCTTCAAGAGGTAAAGTTTTGAATCCGTTGTCGTTCGATTCGGTTTTATTTAAATTAAATATGCATGTTCGTTTAGTAAGTATGTTGTATGATTTTATGTGACTATATGAAATTGATTATTTACTGTGAGCATGATTATTTGATTTAATGCGAGCATGCTAGTTGATTTAATTTCGATTAAATAATTCGCATGTATGTTGTTTTTAATTTCGCTGGAAGCGCTAAGGTACGAAATTAATTGTTTTCAATTATCGGGCATGTGTTTATGTATTTTAAATTCGTTTAATTCGCATAAATTTTTTGTTTTCCTCTGCGTACACGTCTACGATTCCCAACATCCTCTTTAAAGACAATGTCTATAATCTAATTTTTTTCCCATGAAACTGAACATCCTTAAAAGATTTTAAATTCCCCTTTTACAAATAGTATATTGCAGCACGTAATCTTTCTTCTAAATGTACCTTAGTGAACAAGAATGACTTATCATACTTCTTTGAATGTCCTTGAATGTTCAATTCTTGACTTTTGTACCATTTGAAATTGCTTATGCAAGATTTTACTGTATGAGACTTTTACTTAAATTATAGGTCTAATTTTGAATTATGAAATAGACCAAGCTTAATGTTTTCAAATGAATAAACTAACCGAACTTGTTCAAGAGAAAATCTAAACCCATCTAATGATGGTACCAAATGTCTATTTCAAATTCAAATGACAACCTAAGAGTCTTTATAGTCTCAATCCCAAATATCTTACATACCATTTATAGACTAAACTTCCTTTTTTCTTCCTGTGAAGAGACGTTCTTATGTGAAGAGACTGCTCTGTCGCTTCCACAGCCTGCAAAAAAGAAGAAAGAAACTAGCTCTGATCATGTATCTAATGGCGATTAGAGAATAATACCATTGCTTAATTAACATCAAATTACTCAAATGTTTCAAATATTATATATATATATATATATATATATATATATATATATATATATATATATATATATATATATATATATATATACTGAATTTCATACCATTTGAAGATGATAGAAGGGCACAGTGAAATACTACTTCCCATATATTAAGATATAATATTCCAGAGTCGCTCTGTGAGAGTGTGTTGTGTGTGCTCTTTGGTTTTGATTCTGAACATGAAAATGGTGTGAAAAACGAGAGGTTTTGCAATTAAGTACCCAAAGTCTTGTTTCAGATGCATTTTAGTCGCCATACTAATACTATGAACATTGCACTCTTCTTTTTTAAGTTTCACTTACAATTTACTCCACATCCACTTGAATAAACTATTTTACCCTTACGTAATTCATTTTTTTATCTCCTTTTTCTTTTTCCGTATAACAAATATCATAAACAAACATTTTTTATTCCAACTTTCAATTAATTATTGTCTTATCCAAACACCTTCAATCCTTTTTTTTCCAAATTTCTTCAACTTGTTTCTTCTTCTTCTCTCGTCTTTGCTACGATTTTACTTCCATTTTTGTCAAAATCCAGATGGATTAAAAGAATCGCGGGGTTTCCAAAAACTTCACTTCAATGCGCTGGATAAGGGCCCATATTATCCGAAGGGATACAACAAGAACCTGACTTCACTTCGAATATTTGCGCTACTCGAGGATAGTGAGGCAAGGAACCAGAAGCTCTGCACACCTAGCTCTCGGAGCTTTGTTTATAAAACCATAAAGCCAACAAATGCGGACCACCCAAAAAGGCAAAGTAATTAGGTTAAAAATCCTAAAGATATTTGTCGCTCGATAAGGAGGACATCTATAAATAGGGGTACCCTCAAATTCTCGATTTATAACTTTTACATTTCAACACACAATGTACACACATTATTAGTCCAATTTTGAAGTCGGAGTATTTATGCCTGGGAAAAGCCTCACATTGCTGCATGATTGACAACTGATCGTGATTCCGATCAGATCTAAGGAGCAATAAAACATACGACCACGAGCTCAAAGTGACGTAAGGCTGATGGTAGCACATTCCAACTAACCCATTCCGATCATAGTGTATAGCATATTTATTCACAAATTTTAGTGCTACATCGTTTCAATCAAATATTTTTTTCGTGAAAGTAGTATATTGTCAAATTAGAATTTTCAAAAAGTTCATAATATAATTCCAATTTCAATTAAACAAATAAAATTTAGAAATTGGAAATTTGTAAACCGAAAAAAAAAATAGCGAAAATTTTGTTCCAATTTTCTAACCCTAACCCACACCCATCATTTAATTTCCTTATCTCAATCCCCAATTTCGATTTTGAATTCCTAACAAACATTAAATTAAATTTAATTAATTGAAATGTGTGAATTAAAGGAAATGGACATTTGCTTGCAAAATCTTCCGCCCCAAAACTCTCTCTAATTCAAAATCAATTTTGTTTTTCCCCACCCGCTGCAGATTTGATCGAGTGCGATTGTTTTTCTGTTCTTAAATTTGTATTTTGCTATCTAAAATAATATCTTTTTTTATTTTGCAAATGCGAAGAAATTGTTAAGAATCAAGATGCAAGCTAGAATCATAAGTTTCTTAATCTGTTGCAGATGAGGGTTTGTAGATAAAATGGGTGGGGGTAAAATAGTAAATACACAAAAGTCAACATTTTTCCATTTGTCCTAGTATTTATTTGTTGAAAAAATGTGTTCTTGATCTCTTTGCAGTGTGGAGTTTCTCATTCGTTTACAAGTGTACACGATTTTCGTTTTTATCTGTTGAGAAGTATGTGATGAATTTAACAAACGAAGTGGAGATCATTTGCGGTCGTCCTCCACTTACTTTGTTAAGTTCGTTACGAAGTATTTCCAATTAAGCCGATCGATATATTAATTCTCGTTTTACTGATGAAGTAGTTAATACGGTTGAATTTCGTGTGATTGATATATTATTGGATATGATTCCGAAAGTTACGGTTCGAATTTGGAATTTATAATATGTTTTCGATCAATATATACTTATTGTCTTTGGTATGTTGTGTTTTTCAATATTTTGGAGTATTGAATTTAATGATTTCCAAATGCGAAGAAAGTTGCTTGTGGCTGTGATGATTTTGGTTAACTATTTCGTTAGATCTCGATAATGCTGTGTAGATTATAGGTTTTGGGATTTCGGAAGCTTGTCAAAAATTATGTTCACCATAATTGTCTCGTATAAATCATAGTTAAGCATTGAAATCGAGTATATAAACATTTTGTTGGATCGACGAAAGTTCGGTTTATGTAATAATTATTTGGCTTCAAATGAAAAGGGAAGTCTAGATAAGCTTATCACTTACACTAGAACTCCAGTTCATACACGTGGAGATTGAAACTAAAATATCATTGAATTAGGCATATTTTTATGGGGTATTTGTACATAAGTCCCCAACCAAGCATTTTTTTTATTCTAGGTTTAGGGGCTATATCTCTTTCACCAATAAGCCCATCCATTTAATATTTATTATAAATAAAGGAAACATTCATGTATATTACAATATTACCCCCAACCCTTCATACCCAATTCTTAATTGTAACCCCGATTTAATCAATTGTCCACAAAAATTCATTTTTGACCACAAAAATTCAATTTTGACTTTTTTTTTCAAAAACATTTTTTTTTTCAAAAAAACATTTTTTGCCGCGGATTCTGGCGTTGAGCGGCGGTCAACGCCGGTCTCTGGGGTTGACTTTTCGATTTTTTTTCTGGTCTGTTTTTTTCCGTCGTCGGATTCCGGCATTTTACGTCCGTCGTTAAACGTTGATCGTGATTGTGCTGTCACTGACAGTAAATTAACGTAAATATACTGTCAATGACAGTTAATTAACGTAACTGTAGTGCCGTTGATAATAAATTAACGTAATATTATTATTTTTTATTTTTTGTTATTTATTTTTATTTTGTTTGATTTGTTGACAAGTCAACGTAATTATATTACAGTCCTTGACAGTAAAATAACTGTAAACACAATAATATTACTGTCAACAACATCAATATTATTATTTTTTTTGGGTTTTTTGTTTTTTTTTATTTATTCATGAAGTAACGTAATAATATTACTGTCTATTATTCTAATATTACTGTAAACACAATAATATTACTGTAGTTAACGGTAATATTACTGTTGTTATAATAATATTGTTGTCAACCACATCAATATTATTATTTTGTTTGGATTTTTTTGTTTGTTTGAGCTATTCACGGAGTAACGTAATAATATTACTGTGGTTGGCGGTAATATTACTGTTGTTATAGTAATATTACTGTCACTCACAGTAATATAAATTATTTTGGCTTTTTATTATGTTTACATTTGTTCAACGGTCAACATAGTAATATTACTCTATATCACAATAACAATGAGTTTTGTTGTGTTAATATTACTGTGTTACAGATTAATATAGCAATATTATTGTGTTAAACTGTAGTATAGTTAATTTTACCGTGTTTAACAATAATATAGTTAATATTACTGTCAATCGCAGCAATATTGTTGTTTAAACGAAAATGAAATTGTTACAGAAAAACGAAAAAAAAAAGAAAAAAAAGCCGGCGAAAAAATCCTGAAGAAGAAAAAAAGAAAAATAAATAAATAAATAAATAAATCGAAAAGTGAACGCCGGAGGCTGGCGTTGATCGCCGGTCAACGGTGGCAAAAAACAAAATTTGAAAAAAAAAATTTGGGTCAAAATTGAATAATTTGTGAGATTTCGGGTCAAATTGAGGTTAAATTAAATTAAGGATGAAATTGGAGCATATTAAAGTATGAGGGGCTATTTTAGTCTTTTACAAAAATTTGGACTATGTATGGACATATTTGTAAAGGAGTTTTTTGTCTGGATCTCTTTACTAATAAGTACCCATTGATGCGCTTAGTTGTAAAGACCCCTATTTTTATTTGAACTCGGGTCGAAAAATCTTATCAGTTACTTTGGGTATATTAATAGACGGACGGCTTCACCGCTATGGAATTCGATTTATAAGCATGTTGGGAGCATGGAGGAATGCACCCAATGGATTATAGGTTGTGGAGAAATTATGTTTTGGACGGATAATTGGATAGAAGAGCAATTGATAGGCCCGTTGCCGTACGATAATAATCTCACTGTGGCAGCTGCTTTTCATAATATTTCGGAGTTTATGCAGTTTATCCCTGTCCGATTACTTGATAAAATTAGCCGTGTCAGGCTAGATACAAATATCCCTGATATGCTAATTTTTACCCTTTCTCAAAATGGTGAATTCTCGAGCAAGGCTTATTATAATCATCTTCGGATTTGGGGTCCCGGGAAAGTTGGACGGATCGGATTTGGTTTAAATATCTACTCCCTAAGAAAAGCGGGTTTATGTAGAAGTTAATTCACCATGCGCTTCCGGTAGATCAGCGTTATTTCTCGGGGTATCCCTTTGGTGTCAAGATGTGTTTGCTGCAAAAATCCAAAGCAAGAAGACGTCCCCCATTTATTTTTTGGATCGGAAATTGCCAAGGCAGTATGGAAACGCGTGGGTGATTTATTCAATCTCCCATCGGGATTTTCTTCTACTAAACACGCTTTAAGCACGTGGAACCCAAAGCCGAAGGCGCTTTCCTATTACCCGATGATCCAAGCATCGGTGGTGTGTCACACTCTTCGAGAAATCTGGCTTGCTCGGTGTAAGGTGGTTTACGACGGAGGAAGTATGTCTATCGAAGCCATAAGCAGACGAGTTTTCCATAATATTCAACATTTGGGTACAGTACACGCTCCTCGCCAACCCTCCACTAAGATTCAAAGGCTGCGATTGGAGGCGGCTGGATTTCGCTTGTTTCATCCGCCAGAGAAACGAGGAGCATGGCACAAGTGGGAGTTTCCTTTAACGGGTTGCTATAAGTTAAATACTGATGGCTCTGCTAAAGAAGATAGTTGCACGGGTGGAGGTATCATTCGGGATTCAGGCGGTAATATTATAGCAGACTTTTCGTCCTATTTTGGAGAAGGGTCCAATAATGTGGTGGAGTTTCTAGCTGTATGGCATGGCCTTCGTCTATGTAAGTTGATGGGAGTCTTTCTGGTTACGGTGGAAACAGACTCGCTATTGGTAGTTAATGCTATACGGAGCAATTGTGTTGCTTGGGATCTCGTCTATGTTCACCGTCTTTGGATGCAGGAGGTGACGGATGGGTGCAATTTTCAGCATGTGTTTCGACAGAAGAACATGGTTGCAGACCGTCTAGCAAACTGGGCGTACACACATAAATCAAGTCAAGAGTTCTTCTCGGGGATTAGCTTACCGAATAGGAGCTTTTAATTTTTGGTTTTTCAATTTTATCCCTCTTTTGGGACTTTCGTACTTTGTAATAGACTGTATAGGGTTTTTCTTTCCCCGTTTTTATTCCTTGACATTTATAGGGGTACTCTTTTGCTTGTGTAGGCCCACAAGGTTTTTAACGAGGCCCCCTTGTACTTTCAATAGTAATTCATGGAATAAAATTTTGGCCAAAAAAAAAAAAAGTTACTTTCGGTATATCTTTTTTTTTTCACAATTTTCTACTTTAGTGATCTTTTCGTATCTATAATTAGATTTTGTTGGTTGAAAATACCTATACCGAACTGAGAGCTAAAATTGAAATCTATCGATGATTTATATGAAACGAACACGGATACAAATTCGCTTTAATTTGTACTGAAACACATTTTTAATCGACTTTGTATCCGATCAATTGGCTCATACCAATATGTTTTAATCTTGTTGACACGATTAAATTTTCATAACTATTATCAAGGTTATTACGTGTAGTACATGTAAATTGACCATTGGTACTCTAACCAATTAAAAGTTAATTTAACCTTAGTCGTCATATTTGTATCGGTTTCTCTATGTGCTCTTTCATAACTACGAGATTTTATTACGTAATTTTGTACTGCTTCTTGAGCCAGATGCTTCAGGCGAGCTCCCAATGAAGTTCTTAATTTTGGTACTGCTTTCTTTTCATTCTAATCTTTTATTCCCAGTTTTAATATAGATTTGTTAAAAGTGAATTTCCATATCGTTGGTTCAAGTCGGCATATAAATTCTTAAAATCCCCTATGTCACTCATGCGCCTATATTCCATTTTTATGGTGAAAATACTACACGAGTAAGAATCGGCTTCTATAAATGAACTTATATAAATGAATTTCATTATTACTGTTATAGTCGTAAGGTGCCCTCGTCTTCCGTGTTATATGATTGCATGCATGGGGAACACGTTATAAATTATGCGGTCTTAGATCTCAGCTAACTGATTATTACACATTTTCCGGTCATTTAGAGTCGCCTCGTTACTTTTCGTACTCTACATTAATGACTGTCTAGAGACAACTTTTAGAAAGAAAATAAAATAACTTACTGATGAGTTACGTCGAAGAAAATCCCAAAAAAATTGTACTAAAAAGCGGTAGAAACTTACCTTTTATGCATGTTGTCACGAAGCTTAAATTTACTGTAGCCCCATCAGCGAAGCTTAAATAGGGTTGTATTCAGAGTTCGACGTATGCACAAAGAAATAGTGGATGTCGTCGGAGTTAAAAGACACTAAAATTTGTCTGCAAATATTTAATCAATTTATGTAATAACTTAAATGGCAAGAAACTAACGGCCTTGCCGTCTATAGGAGAGAGAGAGAGTACGTATGATAACTACTCTACAAGTACTTTCCGTTTAGTCCTACCTTAATTAATGTTCGTTTGCAACGGATTCTTCAACTTTTCCAACGGTATAAAGGACAAGATCTAATTTCAGTTGAATAAATAAGTTAAGATCCAAAGCTCTTACTTCAATAAAAAAAAAATGTAAATCAGATATGTATACACCTCAGTTTATACAATGCATCTATTACAACAAACACTAGTTCCCTTTAAACCTAGTAACCGAATCTAAAACCAACTATGTAAACCGAATCTTTACCAACTATGTAAAATGCTGACCTAGCAAAAATTCATAAAAAGTATTGCGTCACCACAAAGAATTACAACGGAAGGGTATTTCTGTTAATTCACCCCACAACCACACACACAAAACACACTGTCAGTCAGTCAATTTCATTTGATTTCCTCCATTTACATTTCGCTCTCTCCGCTCTCTCTCTCTCTCTCTCTCTCTCTCTCTCTCTCTCTCTCTCTCTCTCTCTCTCTCTCTCTCTCTCTCTCTCTCTCTCTCTCTCTCTCTCTCTCTCTCTCTCTCTCTCTCTCTCTCTCTCTCTCTCTCTCTCTCTCTCTCTCTCTCTCTCTCTCTCTCTCTCTCTAACAGCAATCGGAAAAAAATGGCGTCGAGTTCTGTAGCAACAATTCGCCGCTTGAATCACAGTTCAAATCCCTCCTCCTCCACCGCCACCATCCTTCTCGTTCCCAAATTCGAACCAAAACTTGAACCATTGGATGAACCTTTTCCACTCCCACCCGACTTCAATTTCTCTCAGCATGGGGTGGTGATCTATTGCAGCTTTGGGCCCTCGTTGTTCTCTTTCTGCGGGGGGAATGCACCCCATGCTGAGGTGGCACTTCCTGTACCTGGTGAGGTAGGGCCCACCTCTGCCGACGAGCCGCCGCGTGCTTGGGAGCAAAGCGGCCTGGTGCAGGGGCTGGTGCGCGGCGAATGATCATGGTGCCTCTGCCACCACGGTGGTGGTGCGAGGCGGGCAGTTGTGGTTGGTGTGGGTGCAAGGCGGGCTGTTGTTGTTGGTTGGGGTGCGAGGCGGACTGTTGTTGTTGTTGGTGGTGGCGGATGGAGGAGGAGCGGTGGCGTGGCGGAATTTCCACCTCGATTCTCCGGTGGAAGTTGCGGTGGCAGCCGCATACGGCACATAACATGGCCTCACGTCCGGTGGTGGTGCCGATAATGTGTTTTATGTGAGTGAAATGAAATGAAATGGAGTGATGAGTTTATATAGAGAGTGAAATGAGGGTTGAGGTGTAATCTTATACCTGTAATTCTTGGATTATGTAAATTGGATTCCAATTCTTGATATATGTATTCCAGATTTAACGATTTACTTACTCAAATACTGAAATGAGATTTTCTTTTTCTTTTTTCTTTTTATTAAAAAATATTTTATTAAACCTTTAGCAATACAATTAAAAATTTTCCCAAATTTGGTTCGATTGCACTTGGGTTAGATTATATGTAGCATAGACAAAACCCATGTACTTATTATATAATTACGTTTAAATTAAGATGCAAAACTTAGAATAAGAAAAGAATTATCCATTAATTATGATTAATCCATTTTAGAAAATAGTGAATTATGAAATTGAAAAATATTTATTAGTAAATCCATAAACAAGATTTTCATTATTCTGGAGTTGTAATCCATAACATAGATTTTCATTAAACTATACTCAGACTCATAGTATATATATTCACTCTATCTACTTTCTATATAAAATTCAAACTAGTATATTTTATAATTAAAAATCATATTACATACTCATTTTTGAGTTTTGAATAGTAAGGCATACATATTGATTTTGTAGTCAAAATAACTTTGCAGGATCAGATTTTTATCAATTTCATTTAATTATGACATCACAATCATGAAAATTTTAAATATCAGTCAAATATAATATTTGTAGGTCAATATTTTCTTATGCAATTTACTCATTTTTTTTACTTCTTACTGTAAATATTTGTCGGTAAATATCGACTGATTAAGATATTGTTTGTTATCATGAAAATAAGAAATAAATGACGGTTGGAATAACAAATCATTATTAGGGTAAATAATATTTTGCCTCCTAAATTATAAACCGTTGGTCAATAATTACGTTGTTCGTTAAATTTACTATTTATGTCGAAAAGCTCTCGCGATCACTATTTGACATGCAGCCACGTGGTTTTGGCTAGGTTAAATCATAAATTTGTTGTGCATCATCATTTGTTATACGTATTAATTACTATTTAGTTTAAACTTACAGATTGTAAACAAATAAACAAATGCAACATGTTATCGTTCGAAAAAATCCGTCATCTTCGAATAACTCCGACCGTTCTTAACTTCCGAACCTTATTGCAATTAAGAAATGTCACAATATCGTGCTAGATTTGTTGTTCTTTTAAAAATATAAAACCCTTGAATAATTGTATATGTTTTCTTAAATCGAGATATAATTGATGGTGACAGATGTAAAAGGAGTTGAAGAATAATGCGCAAAACAAAGACGGTTTTAATAATTTTACTCGAACCAAAACTATGTTCGAGTTGTATGCATAGGGTTCATGTAAGCTTTTAATTTGGACAAAATGGCACGTCTGGTGAACATTGCGACGATTGTTACATGGATCGATAATGAGCAAAACGACCTTTAGTTTAGGGGCACAATGTCATTGTTATCACTATGATTATTTAGCAATGAGATGTTGAAATGAGGGTGAAAATTCGAACAAAATTTTAGATTTTCCTCTAATTCGATCCACATATGTTAATTTTTAATATTTTTATTTTGGAATGATATTTTGCATTTTTCATTTTGATTTTTTTTGGTGTACACATTTTTTATTTGCTTTTGTAGAAATTTGAATATATACGAGATTCCAATTATCGATTTAATTTTCATTTTTTTTTTTTTTTTGCTAACTATTACATTTATAATATCAATTTTATTAACAAGACGACCTATAACGTGTGGGCAAAAATTTCATTACTATTGGTTCATGAATTCTAAAAAAAAATGCTTTGCAATATATTATAGTTAAAGAGGTGTTGAGAATTAGGGTGAAAAGGGTGAAAATTAGATCCAAAATTAATATTTTTTTAATTTAATACTTTTTGTTTGGAACAATATTCATTTTAAATTTGAGGGAAAAAAATCCAAAATTGTATTTATTTTTGTAGAAATTGAAATATATACCAAATTCCAACTTTCAATTGAGTTTTTCATTGTCAATATTTATATCTTTTTCCCAGATATTACATTTATAGGGTAACTTAAGGCCACCTCTTTGAGGTAAGGCTAAATTACGAAAAACCGCATAATGTTTGGGCAATTACAACCACTCCTCAACCATGAATCGTCTTGCACGTCCACCCTTACCGTGTCAAATTTAGTGAAATCTTCTAGATCATGTGAAATATTCTTCAATTTGTACCAATTTTATCCGATTCGAGCTCCACATTTTGAAACAAGTTAATTAGTCTCTCTTACATAAGATGCGTCTCTCTTGGCTTGTAAATATCAGATTGTGATGCATCATAAATTTTACTTTTCTAACAAACAAGTACGAACTAGAATACATTCCACAAAATCTAGAAAATTAATTAAATTTGATACTAT